CTATCTATCTATCTATCTATCTATCTATCTATCTATCTATCTATCTATCTATCTATCTATCTATCTATCTAGACTATGGTAAAACTGGCAACTTTATATGACTTAAACTAAATTCAAGTCATATAAATTCTTTTTTTCAGACAAATTCTTAATATAAAGACAAGCAAAAATTACTGTGGAATAAAAACATTTGCAAAAGAGATAAGAAATAATGTTGTTTCTACAGCAGCCAAACACCTCCAAGATCCTGACAAGGAAAACAGTGAGCTGCAGCATTAATGATTTACAAACCTGCGTTTTTCTGCTAATCAACAATATTTTCTTTCTCAGTATGTGGAACATATCTGAAAGGTTCTACTGAAATCTGAAAGTGTTTGGCACCAGAGAAACTGAAAAAGATGCTTAAAGGAGTTTTGGCCTTAAAGGGAGTCTGCTTGCAGCTAATCCACCCAAGTTTGCATCATCTGGAGGGGATGAAGTTCTCCCTGGGATCAGAGCACTGAGGAGTTTATTGGTACTGCAATTCAAAATAGAGATATGCTAAAGAGATAAAGCTTGATGGCTGTAGTCTTACATAAATTAATTTAACAGGGATTTATATAACAATGATTTGGAGAGTGGGTGGTAAAAGATGCAGACATGACACTCTGTGTCAACTGCAAATAAAGCAGGATCCAATCCGTTGATTGATTACAACTAATCACAAAACAATATAGAACCTTCTTAAGCAAGGATTATTTAGATGGAAACAAAGGCCAGCACATGCTGATCAACCAAACAACCCAATAAGTTGAAAATTCGATAACAGGACAACACCCCTGAATGAGTGCTGGCTTAGTGGTTTAGAGCAGCGCTCTTGTGCCCTGAGAAAGTTGCAAGTTCCCGGTTCAATCCCCTGGGTCTCTGAGCAAGACCCTTAACCCCACAATGCTCCCCAGGAGCTGCACAGTGGCAGCCCACTGTGCCCCAAAGGGATGGGTTTAAATGTAGGGATAAATTTCACCAGTAAAATTAAATTATTATTAATTAGCTCAATTATTATAAAACATTAAGAAGTCTCAAACCTGATTGCTTTTTTCTGCCTGGTTGTTCCTGTTTGAGTCAGGGAAATGGATGTGGCACCCTGTCTCCTCCATCACCCTCTTGATGTTGTTGCCACCTTTGCCAATGACGTGGGAGTGCTCTGTGTGGGAAACGTCCATCTTCAGAGTCACCCTGTTGCTCTAAAGAGAAGTGCATCTTTTACAAAAAACAAATATGGAATAGATAGAGGCCTATATCTAAATACATAAAATTTAAACATAGAAGAAACAGAAGTTGTCAGATACATCCCCTATTTAATCTCAAAAATCCCTTTAATCCTGAGAGATTATGATTGTATTTTTAATTTAACTTATATTACTGATATATTAACTTATATTACTGATATATTAAAGTCTGAAAAAATTAGTAAAATTAGTAAAATCTAAAATATCGAAGTCATTTTTGCAGCAGATAAACTAAACACAACTAATCCTGCACAAATAAATTTCTTCCTCTATGAGGCGCTATAGTGCAGATATCCAGGTATGCAAAATACTGTGTTGCTATGGCAAAGAAGCTGTATACAAATTCTTAAATCCATGACAACCTAAACACAGGAGTATTTGGCATGTCTGGAGAGAAATTGTACCGTAAGTCTGTTTGTATTCCATCACTTGGACTGCAGTGAAATACATTTGGAGTAAAAATAAGGGAAAAAAGAGAAAGTGGTTGAAAAAAAAAAAAAAAAAAAAAAAAAAAAAAGAAACTGGGAGACAGTTTCACATTTGAAATAAGTGTTAACTGTACCTTTGTGTCAAGCACAGACATGATTCTGTCTTTAGCTTCTCTCACATTATCTCTTTTTCCGCACACTTTGATGTGTGGATCTGAAACAAAGAGCCAAAATGGGGATTTAGTGGTATCTAATCAGTGAGCCAATAAGGAGTTAAGAAGTGCTGTAATAGAAAGCGACAAGTTAAAACCAATTTAACCAAACATGACTGCATTTATCAGCAAATTAGAGAGCTTCAGAGGAAAGCTCTGCGGGAATAATTGCTGTTTTGATATGTGTAGTCCCGATGAAATCTGCAAGCAGCCAGACGACTCCCTGTGGAATTAGATTAATGTCATTTGTCATTCTTTAGAGCTTCCACAAAAAGTGTTGTGCCTGTCAACCAGAGCATTGCAGAAACAGTCTCTCTGCTTTTCTGTTTTCCCCAAATATGAAACTGACTTCAAATTAATAATGGTTCAAGGTTTTAACAGAATTCAACTAACAGCAGTGGTAAGTAAAGTTTTTTTTTTTTAGCTAAAGCTTGCAGTTTATTTACAATTTTAACATGGCTAAAAAAAAAGTTGTTACTTTATTAATAGCTGTGGTGCAAAATATAACACCAAAGGTTTAAGAAAAATCATAATAGAGACTTGAGGGTTATTTGTTTGCAATAATACAATGCAACACATCTAATTTGGAAGAAACTGAAACACAGAAGCCTCTTTAATCTGGAAAAACAAATAAAGGTTGCAATTATCATAATGTTCTGTTTAATGCATTTTTACACATTTTGCTGGTCATACTGCAATGCTTTAATAACAATTGTAAAAGATAGTAAATAACTGAGAGCTCTGTGATTAACTGCTGAAAAGACAACCAGATGTAAAAATGCAAAGAAAAATCAAAGCAGTCTGGGCTTCTTTAGCTCCTTACTAAAGACATAGGCAGATCACCTCCATGCCGTGCCACACTGGTGCAGTAAATCATGTCGACCTATTCTAATGTCTGTGCAGGTTACATTAACCTAATTATGAAAATAAACAAAGATACATTCCTCTATTTATGTAGAATCCATAGAAAAATAATCATTCTTTGGTTTTTCATTACTTCTATAGACACAAAACTCTGCAAACATAGCAGCAATTACAGCAAGAACTGTTCAGCAAAAATAAAAAGGGTCCTTTCAGTTACACATCATCATAAAAAAACTAAACCCAAACTTAGACATGTTATCATTCCTAGGTAAGGTTCATAGCTGAGCATTGTTCCATCTGGGTGCCTTTGCAAATTCAACAATTAGAGAACACAAATGCAAAAGCACACAAACAGAGACCCACAGAAAGAAAACAAATTACACTACACCCTTACAACCCGTGCCCATGTTTAAACAGGAAGCCCACTAAAGCCCCCTTCCAGGAATAACCCTCCCCATGTAGACAAAAAGAACTCTAGATTTACAGTATGAGCTGCACACCAAGCTCAATAAATCAGATTTATTGGTTTAACTTCACACTTGAATGTTGACACTCTCAAAGGAGGTTGGACTAGTAAAAATTCCTGAACAGGTCAGAATCAGACCTGCATTTATTCTAATCACAAATCAGAAAAAAAGCACAAAAAAAAGCCTGAGAGGAACAAAGAAACAGAAACAGTGAGCAAAACGGGCTGTTGGAGACTTTTCACAGCCTCACTGCTGGTTCCAGGCACTTTTCCCATCATTTGGCTGCTGCTGTAAACAACCAAAAGCTCTCAATTTCCTCCTGCAACACCTGCTCTAACCATTAGAGGGAGACTGGGTCCATTAAGTTTTCACCAACTAACCTCCAGAGCACATCTGGCAAACATTAGACTGCCTAAACGAGTGTTGCAGTTGAGATGTTGAACACCCCCGCATTTCTGGAGTGTGTTGGCTGATTTTTTTTCTCCCCCTCTTTTTTTTCTCAGTGATTGATTGTGGAATAAAAAATGAACACCTAAAGTCATAATTTGGTTCACACGACAGCTAAGAAAACAAACAACAACAAGGGTTCGACTTGCAGCTAAAAAAAAGTGAGCCTTTTTAGTTGGACACAGCTTTTCTTGACAGAGAAGAAACCTTTTGACCAAGAATTCTCTGCTGGCAAAACTAAGAGTTTTTTTTTTTTCAGCTACATTAGAAAATACCACACAAATTAACGGAGTTAAGAGTTTGGCGTGGCTTTTTCCATTCAAAAACATCTGCGGAAACAGAAAAAGTTCCAGCTGGTAAGTATAAAAGCGATTACAATGACTTTCAGTAAAACAAAGTGAATTCTAAATAATAAAAGTGTAAATATGATCAGATAAGGTTGCCATTTATTATGGGAAAGATAGACATCAGTCCTCACAGGATTAAAAACTGACTGATGGCTTGCACCAAAGGCTACAAACTGGGCTTATCACACTTCTGCAGGTGGAAGAGATTAATTTGAGGAAGTGATAAATGAAATAGAGGCGAGCATTTTGATAAACTGCTTCTCCGAGTGTGAGAGCGGTCACAACCATCCAATTCCTGTCACTTCTGATCAGATCCTGCATATTAAATCCAGACTTCAGAGGAAACCCTCAACATTCCAAGAAAACATGAACAACTACAACAAGCATTACTTTAGACTGAAACAGTTAAAAAAACAAAAAACGCATTTCAGTACCAGTGAAATGGCTGAATCATCTGCTATTTTAAGTGCTCAGCAACTGAGCTTTGTGTTTTTATTCAGGGTTACGAGGTGAGAAAAAATGCAATGTTCATCCTAACCTCGATTAATTTTAACTGTGGCTTCTGTAGCATTTAAAATACAAGTCAAATGGGAGATTATAATAATTGTGTGTAAATTTAATGCAGAATATTTAGAGATTTTTAAAAGGTATTTCAATATTCTGAATAGAGAGGTGTGAGGTATGAATAAGAGTAGTAGTAATAATAATAAGGCTCATTATCTGCCAAATACCATCTCCTCCACAAACACCATAGGATGTTGGTATATTATGTCACATTTACTTTTTGAATACATTATATTCATTTTTATTTAAGTTGTTTAAGTAAAGAAAATGAAAGATTGATTACAGTTTTAAAGACTTACATTTTGTTCATCATGATGAGTTTTTTCGCCTCAAGCTAATGAAACAACCATCTAGGATTGGAATATTACGTCAGACAATACAAAAAGTATTTTAATATAGGAATGTGGGCTTAAGAACAACATCTCAGATTTGCTTTAATCTTGTTTTTAAAGGGTAATTCTAATCTCATGATCTAACAAAATACATTCTGTCATTTCTTTTAGTCAATGCCTTTTTTTTTGTTGATCTTAGCATAAACCTGCAGGGAGCAAAATGAAAGCTGATGGGTTTTCTTGCCATCTTCAGTCTCCTGAGAGTTGATAGGGCACATGGAGAGTTCCGCATTTCTCCTCAGAAATACTAATGAGATAACAGTCAAACATTTCCTCTTTACTTGTTTTCTTTGCTTACATTAAATATGCAGAGCCCCAAAAATTCAAGAATTCAAATGGCCCATGTGCATTTATCAAAGGTGGGGCAGGTCATAGTTAGTTTTTTTTTCTTTTTTTAGTGAATGAAAGGATAACTTAGCATGAATGAAGAGTCATCTATGTATTATCTGCCAAACTTTAAAGTTGATTATGTATTAGAGAGGAAAGAAATGTTAAAGAATCTGCTGTAATCCAATCAACATTTGTCCCAGTTGACTGACTGAGGAAGTTACATAATGTCAGTGGATTGCACATCTGGTTTGAAGACGCACACTGGCAATTCTCCTGGGGGAAACAATGCGGGCACAACTACACCTATTCCTCCCCCTCCTCCTCCTCCTCCTCATAAATGCTTCCCTCCCGGAAGAGCTTTAAATAACCAAGCTAATCTTTTATTGGTAACAGAGTGCTGGAGCAACTTTACCAATAAACGCGAGAGCTTTGACTCCCACACCTCCGCCTGCGCTGAAAAAAAAAAAAAAGGCTTTCATGCAGATGAAGCTATTGGCTCGTGAGGAATGGAAAACATGTAAGCTTTCGTCTGTGCAAACTGCTCAATTAGCTTTTTACTAAAGAATGCAGGCGCAACATGGAAATACCTCCCTCTCATCCATCTGATTTCAATAACTTTTTCCAAGAACATATATCTGGCTAAAACAACATGGACGCATACAGATCAAATTAACCTTGAAATATTAAAAATAAATATATATATATATATATATATATATATATATATATATATATATATATTTATAAATATATATATATATATATATTTATTTTTTTATATATATATATATATATATATATATATATATATAGACCAAAAGTTTGGACTCACCTCATTCAAAAAGTTTTCTTTATCATGACTATGAAAATTGTAGATTGTACATTGTAGACATGTGGAATTATATACTTAACAGAAAACTGAAACAACTGCAAATATGTCTTATATTCTAGGTTCTTTAAAGTAGCCACCTTTTGCTTTGATTAGTGCTTTGCACACTCTTGGCATTCTCTTGACGAGCTTCCAGAGGCAGTCACCTGAAATGGTTTTCACTTCACAGGTGTCCCCTGTCAGGTTTAATAAGTGGGATTTCTTGCCTCATAAATGGGGTTCGGACCAACAGTTATGTTGTGCAGAAGTCAGGTGGATACACAGCTGATAGTCCTACTGACTAGACTGTTGGAAATGTATTATAGCAAGAAAAAAGCACCTAAGTAAAGAAAAATGAGTGGCTATCATTACTTTAAGAAATGAAGGTAAGTCAGTCGGAAAAAATTGGCAAAACTTTGAAAGTGTCCACAAGTGCAGACGCAAAAACCATCAAGCGCTACAAAGAAACTGGCTCACATTAGGGCCGCGCCAGGAAAGGAAGACGAAGAGTCACCTCTGCTGTGGAGGATAAGTTCATCTGAGTCACAAGCCTCAGAAATCGCAGGTTAACAGCAGCTCAGATTAGAGACATGGTTAGAGTTCTGGCAGCAGACACATCTCTAGACCAACTGTTATGAGGAGACTGTGCTAATCAGGCCTTCATGGTTAAAGTAGCTGCTAGGAAACCACTGCTAAGGACAGGCAACAAGGAGAAGAGACTTGCTACGGCTAAAGAACACAGGGAATGGACATTAGACCAGTTGAAATCTGTGCTTTGGTCTGATGAGTCCAAATTTGAGATCTTTGGATCCAACCATCGTGTCTTTGTACGACACAGAAAAGGTGAACAGATGGACTCTACATGCCTGGTTCCCACCATGAAGCATGGAGGAGGAGGTGTGATGGTGTGGGTGTGCTTTGCTGGTGACCCTGTTGGGGATTTATTCAAAATTGAAGGCATAATGAACCAGCATGGCTACCACAGCATCTTGCAGCGGCATGCTATTCCATCCAGTTTGCGTTTAACTGGACCATCATTTATTTTTCAACAGGACAATGACCCCAAACACACCTCCAGGCTGTGCAAGGACTATTTGACCACGTAGGAGAGTGATAGGGTGCTGCGCCTGATGACCTGGCCTCCACAATCACCGGACCTGAACCCAATCAAGATGGTTCGGGGTGAGCTGAACCGCAGAGTGAAGGCAAAAGGGCTAACAACTGCTAATCATCTCTGGGAACTCCTTCAAGACTGTCGGAAGACCATTTCACGTGACTACCTCTTGCATGAAGCTCATCAAGAGAATGCCAAGAGTTTGCGAAGCAGAAGCAAAAGGTGGCTACTTTGAAGAACCTAGAATATAAGACATATTTTAAGTTGTTTCACAGTTTTTTGGTAAATATATAATTCCACATGTGTTAATTAATCGTTTTGATGCCTTCAGTGTGAATCATCAATTTTCATAGTCATGAACATAAAGAATACTCTTTGAATCAGAAGGTGTGTCCAAACTTTTGGTTTGGGTTAAATCAGCCAATTCCTTACCTGCTATTAAAATTTAACTTGTTTAGAGAGAAAGATTTTATGGATAAGTTGTTTCCTAAAATGTCTTCCTACATAGAACACTTAATAACAAAACATTTCCTAGTTGAAGTATTTTTAAATTGTTTGTAGACACCTAAAACATGATAAAATATCAGCATTAATGTGGCATTAGGCCATGAACAACAACAACAACTGTTGTTTATCATTAACCAGAATCCTTTTATAAAGAATATACTCCTGTAATGAGGAATATATGTTCAGCTATGATGATAATGGTCCCTTCAGATATTTCAACAATTGACCAAATCCCCATTTTTCTTAAAAGAAAGGATAACAATAATGAAAAATCACCTTTCTTGGACTTGGCTCCAATTTTCAGTTTGGAAGGCCAGGCTATCTGTGTTTGGGTCTCATCCATGATCTGGAACAGAGTGAAAATGAGCAGATATGAGTTAATCACAGGTAATGACGTTAGCAAATACTGTGTGCTGGAAAGGAGCGAGGAAACTGTGTCTAGTTGTTAGAATAGTAAAGGAGAAACATGATGATGAACACACAAAGTGAACTAAGCTCCTGGATCTATCAACATAGCATCTAGATGTTAGTTTAAACCTGCCTGCTGACTGCAGGTGTTCTAGTCTAAACACACATTTTTTGCTCCGCTTTCAAATCCAGCAAATCCAGTCGCTAAATAAATGAAAATAAAATAAAACCGGAGTGGACTTGAAGGATTGGAACTAAAAGACGTCTTTGTGAGGCAAAGCCTTTGACAAATCTAACTAAGAGCACATGTGAGAGTGGTTCTTTAAAAAAGCAAACAGCAAGAAGAAGAAATAGGAGTGAGGAGGTGTTCAGGTGACAGCATTTCAATAAGCACCTGCTTGTTTTTGTGATCATCAATAAGAAGTTCCTATATATTAGAGAAATCTTTGGGAATGGGTTAATCTAAGCAGAGGGAATAAAGGAAAAACACCAGATGAAAAAAAAAAAAAGAATGATCTCTGTGTTCTAATAGCTTTGTCCTCCTCAACGCGCTCCATCCTTGTTTTTACAAAGGTCCTGTAGTCTTCTGTTTATTTTCCTACTTTCCAGGGGTTTGTACTTCCAGGGTGGAGGAGATATGAATTTCTTAAAGTTCTCGAACTTTCAGCCACGTGATGAAGCACCGGAGGGCTGTTTAAAACCATTACAACACTGCTGGCTGCCACTTAATATATCTCAGTGGACAAGTACATTAAGCCATAAGCTAAACAGTCTTACTAAGAATGAAATGTGTATGCATTAAGCTCCATCAGTGCTCCCTGCAGATGTTTAAGCTTGTTAACAATAATAGAAAATCCAAAATGTTTGGTAATGTTAATAAATAATAAAAATAATTTACTAGGATGACATTTTGCAGCTTCCAATTGGTGCCACAAAAATCAAAAGGCATGTTTAAATTCCTCGATGGATTTCTGGAAATAGTGTGATCTGTTTAGGATCTATTAAAATAAGTTTGACAGCTTGTCTGCTGCCACCCTCACACACCTGAGAAACAAAAAGTAGGCTCTGAAAAAGTCAAACACATGCCTCTCATCATTCTGCAGCTATAAGCTGTGAGACTGTGATGGTTGACTGGAAGCCCTTTCAAGCCTCACTGGTTTTCTACATCCCAGCCTATAATCACATATAAAAATGGACAGACTAGGTCATCAGCTCTATGAAAAACGCTAAGGCAGCCTCCAGTCTTTTAGAGAGACTCTAAAAACAGTTTTTTGAACGATTCCATAACAACAACACTGTGTGCAAAACACAAGTTGGTTCTTATTAAAACACAACTGCTTTCATCAGAAACACATTAAAGGAGATTAATGCAAAACAATAAATTCCTTGCGCAACAAATTCGTAGAACAAATGCTTTTGATGATGTTTTTTCGACATTCTCTTTTTTGTTTGCAGCAAAGAAACTAAGCTTATCCTGAAACATAAATGCATCGGTGAAAAAATAACTGATGTACAGAGCATTGCAAATATTTACAATAGCTACAACCATGAAGTTCTATGAACATCACTATGGTTTATGAATCAAAGAAAACTGCTAAGTTAAAGGAAATATAAAAATTGCTCTTCAGAAGCTTTTTACGTATAAAAATCTAAACATTATTGCATTCATTTGTATTTCACTCTCCTTGGTCAAAATCTTTTAGAACCACCTTTTACTGCTATTACAGCTGCAAGTCTTTTGGACTGCGCCTCACTGGGTTTGCACATGCGTGAAATTTCTGGTCACTCTTTGCAAAATAGGTCAGGTTCAGTCAGACTGGATGGAGAGCATCTGTCAACTGTGGTTTTCAGATATTGCCACATATTCTTAAATGGATTTACATCTGGACTTTGACAAATCCATTCTAATCTTTGTATATGCTAGAAGATTTTAGCTGTGACTGTATGTTTATGTCCCCTAAGAGGTTAACCCCTTTTTGCTAAAATCTTTTGCAGCCATTAATAGATTTTCTTCATAGATGATGATGATAATTTCTAAAGGTAGTTTGTTAAAATGGTATTCATTTAGGGGTGTTAAAACTGATGAAAACACATGCACACCACACTTTTCAGATATTTATTAGGGTACATATTTCGTATGATTTCTAACTTCATATTTTTACACTACTTTGTTTCATCCTAATTAATAATAAAATGCAATTAGACAAAACATAAAAAAGATTAAAGGTTAGGAATACTTTAGTATATATATTTTCAGTGGTTTACACCCGTTTGTTTTTGATAGAGCAATAATAAATACAGATTTATTGTGTCATTTTATGTAACTAAAGAGAAAGCTAAAAGATTTAAGCTAGTTAATCACAGCGATACAAAATCAAGCTGCCTTCTCTTATTTCTGTAAGGTTTTATAGATCTGCAAAGGTTAGATGATGATGTTGATTAAAAGATTTCTAGTGCCAAATGTCTTCGCCCCACACAGAACTTGCACTACAGGAGGTTGTAGAATGAGGATCTCTTCCATGGTTCCCCAATCAAGCTGTGATGCTTCAGACTACATTTTCATTGTATTGCCTTGAGAAAAAAAGATGATCAAGCACATGATCCAAGTGGAATCATCTTCTGCTTATAATGCAAATCTATGGCAAACTTTTTGGCTGCCAGATGTTTTACTTTGAAAATTCCAACTCTATGCCTATGTCCCTATATGCTACAGTTGAGAGGGATACGTAACCAGCAGAGAGAATTTTGTGCAAACAGAAGGATGCTGAGCAGAAGCAACTGACAGCAAATTAAGTTAAATCATTCACTTTATTCTATCATCTTAATTCGCTCTACATTTCAGTTCAGTTATGGTTGTTTTTTGCTCCATCTAGAGTTGTCTAGTTAGCTGCTTTTTAGATCTACTGAACTTTAAGTATTTAGTTAAGTGTTTGTTTCCATAAAGGTTGGGCTTCACCTAATAAATCTTATGGAAGGACCTTCACCAACTTTAACATTTTGCAGCACCAATTATGTTATTATGACTTTGGAAAATGTATTGCATCAGTATGGTATTGCCCTTGTTCTCACCTCACTCAAACCTGCTAAAGAAAGCAAAGATGGCTTAAAAATGTCCATTATTAGTCAACAAATCAAAAACAATACCGATGACTGCAGTGATGTCAATGACTTCACATGCAGTAAAATACAAGCCAAGATTTTATTCCTAATTGGGTGTTTCATGCAATCTGAAGCAGTAACTCTAACATACTACAGCACCCTCCACTATTTTCTGGCACATGTGAGGAAGCACTATAAATCAGTTTTAGTTAAGAGCTGGATGTTAACCTTTCTGACTGAAATCACATGTTCGCACCAAAAACTGGATGCATTACAAACAGCATAAAAAAGATGTTGCTTATGGTTTTGATAAAAAAAATAAAATAATCCACAGCAGTTTATGCTTTAAATTTTCTTTCCTTTTTTTGTCTCAAATCCTGTGACATTGTCAGGGTTTTTTACAGACGCATTCATTTGGAACACAGCAATTTAACAAATATAACACTGTGGCTGCTATAATTATGGAGGCAAGGATGAGCTAAATATAAGACCATGATTGAGTCAAGGGGGAGTTAAAGATAAAAAATTTAATTAAAAATCATATATTTGAAATGTAGATTCACTTTCTTTTTAAGCTTAAGGAAATTTCAAGTAGAGCAAAGCAGTGGAAGAAAAGGCTCATTATAAAAATTACATCAGACCTTCTGTTCCACCTTCAAACACTTGAATAGTCACTATTTTCTGTAAAAAGGGCTTTGTTAGGAGAAACCCACTTCCTGTCCAGCTTTGCTATTCTTGGCAGCGCTCAGCAGATGGGACTGATTTCTGACAGACCACACACCATTTTGAAAGGCTGGATGGCGTTTATTTTCACGAAGGGCCATGCATATACCTCTCAAATGGCTAAAGATATTTGCACAAATTGAGAAACCTATACATTTACAATTCCAACCTTGCTTTTAACTTGTCACTCCACCCTTTCTCTGGCCTGAACAAATACAGAAATCGCTGTGATACATTTTAATGACATCGTTCTAATCGCTGATTGGTCAGTTGAGGTTTTCAGCTGTATGGATGTCTACAACTCTGTGTAACATCATACATTTAGGAAAAGTCCATAAAGATAGCACATGTTGTCAATGCATGGGACTGGGTGTGTAACACTGCAGCAAATCCGCATGGCAGCAGCTTGTTTCCTGGACTTTGCTGCGATGGTGCAGCTGTTGATTCAGCTGGAATGTGTGATTGTGGAGAGAGACGAAGAGGGGGCTTTTGGCGGCTGTAAAGCAGAGTTAGGAGGCTCAGGGCGGCAGGGCTAAAGGCTGACAAAGCCGACTCAACCGTCCCTTTGAGAGTCAACAGCCATGTTAAGAATCCAAGTGCTAACTCGCAGCTACACCTCTGTTAACCCTCTTGGTGAGGAATGTATACATAATTATGCTGGGGCAACACAAACTACAAGGAGGGAAAATTTGCAAACAGCCCTGTTGGAATCCAATAAAAAACAGACCTCAAGTGGAGAATCTTTTTATTTTTTTATATCTATGTCCATAATTGACATTTCTCTCCTTTATGAAAATAAAACAAAAAATACAAAAAACTCGAGACTGCTGGACTCAAACTAAAAACATTTAGGCCATTAGAAGTCAGTAACAGAGACTTAAAACGCATCAATATTCAAAGGAATCTGATCCAAAATATGACTTATTTAATATTTAATTTATCCCAGAAGTCTCTGGTCAAACCATTAGAATCTGCCATTTAATGGGGCGCAAACTTCTGGGAAAAATTGATGAATAGAGGTCATGCAGCACTGTGTCTGCTTGGTTTAAAATGCCTTTTAGGTTACTATTATGAATGCACCTCACACCACCACAAAGCCCATGTTGCTCCTGTATA